TTATTCTAATAATAATTTTGAAGCAGAAAGTTCAAGGCCAAAGTAATAAAATGCAATTAAAAAAATCCAAAAAACTTAAGTTTTTTTATTTTTTTTGAGACAGAGACACACTCTTTCAACCAGGCTGGAGTATAGTGGCATGATCATAGCTTACCGCAGCCTAAAATGCCTGGGCTCAAGTGATCCTCCTGCCTCGGCCTCCCGAGTAGCTATGACTACAGGTGTCCACCATTTTCTCTCTCTCTCTCTTTTTTTTGGTAGATACAGGATCTCACTGTCGCCCAGCGTGGTCTCAAACTCCCAGTTTCAAGTGATCCTCCTACTTCAGACTCCCGAGTAGCTGGTATTATAGGCATGAGCCACCATGCCCAGCCAACTTTATTCTTTTTAATGAAAAAGTTCTACACGTTATTGTGGAAAAAAAGAATCAAACAGCCCATATGCGTGTATAGCATAAAAGCCCTCCATTCTCACTGGTTTCCCTGAATTGCATTCCCTTGAAGTGACCACTGCTAAACAGTTTGGCATGCATCCTTCCAGACATTTCTAACTTGGTCATTGAACAGATATGTAGTGATTGCCTACAATGTTCCGGCCAGTGTGCTAGGTGCTGGGGACCAGTGGTGAACAAACACAAAGCTATATACATACGTATGTATGTGTGTCTGTTATATATATTGGCAAAAATAAGATAGTATTTTTACTAAATAATATCTCAGAGCCACTTTTCCATGGTAGTGTGTAGAAATACATACATACATACATATTTATGAGTTTTCTTAGCTGTATCGTATTCTGTTACAAGGACATACCAAAATGTATATAGCCTATATACGCTGTTTTTAAAACAAGCCATATTCTCTGCTTGTAGAAGGTAGAGCAACCTGCTTCACGTGTCCTGCTTGAGGAGAACCTGGCTCTGTCTGGACAGGGATCCTCTAGGGCCTGTCCCCTGCACAGGGGTAGAGAGAGAGCCAGCTGAGTGGGCTAACCCTCCTACCTCTTCGACAGGCAGACAAGTCCAGCACCAGGAGCACAGTGTGCCCGCCTGGGATGCACAGTTGGCCGGTGGCATGGCTGAGTTCATATCCAGGTCCCTCGGACTCCAAAGCTCCCAGTGACACAGCTGCCATCACCCTCTGTGTGCCTATACACGCATAGCGGTGGTATCATCCTGCCTGCAGCATCTCCTTCATGCAATAAATCCTGTAGCCTACTGATTAAACAACGGGGAGGGAGAGGGAGGAAATGAACTTGAGGTCATGGAAAATGCAGCCAGAGGTGGATAATGTG